CGAGGCCAAATCCTAATCAGCAGAATTCAAGAAGAACCCTGGAGTTTGCAACTCCCTCCGACTCCAGCGCCCCCGGTCCAACAGTAGACTTGTAGGGCCTGTCGGGCAAGGTCTGGGGGTTCGTTTGGGTTTAGGGTTACCTAAAACCCAAATTGCCAGAAACCTTAAACCCTAATCCCTCAACCCAAACCCGAAGTCCCCATAAACCCACAATCCTAAGCCCCAAATCCTAAATCCTAAATTAAAACAAAAACCGTAAACCCCAAAACCTTAAACCCCAAATCCCCTCAAACCCTAAACCGAAACCCCAAATCCTAAACCCTAAACCCCAAACCGAAACCCTAAACCTCAAATCCTAAACCCTAAACCCGAAAGCCTAAAACCCAAACCGAAACCCTAAACCCCAAATCCTAAACCCCAAACCCGAAAGCCTAAACCCCAAACTGAAACCCTGAACAGTCTGGGTCTTTCCCTTCTTGCGATGTGACGGCAGGGCTGCGTCCGCTCGTGCACCGGGGGTTGCTTGCCTGGGCGCGCTTGGCCGGCAAGAAAGGCGCGATGCCGAGCCTTGCGCTTGGGGGCTATAGGGTTTAGGGTTATAGAGTTTGGGGCTGAGTTTTCAGAGTTTGGGTTTAGAGTTTGGGGTTTTGGGTTTGGGGTTTAGGGTTTGTGGTTTAGGGCTTGGGGTTTGGGGACTTGGGGTCGAGCCTTGTGCTGGGGTGTACCTCTTTATTGATCCTTGTCGTTAGTTCCTGCTAGAAGTCCTTAGAAAAGCAGGTTATTGAATTTGGGGTTAAAGTAGGGCTTAGGCTTACCTGTAGTCTCCATTGTAGTTCCTTTTTGGGGATACCTTCTAAAATCCTTATTCTATAACTGGCTAAACCAAAAAAAAGGAACTGCAACGGAGACTATAGGTAGGCTGTAAGCTTAGGCTTCAGAGGCTTTACATTTTGAGGTTTCGGGTTTAAAAAAGGCCTCGGGATGCTCGGGACTTACCTATAGTCTCCATTGTAGTTCCTTTTTTTGGGTTTAACCAATTCTATACTAAGGATATTATAAGGTATCCCCAAAAAGGAACTACAATGGAGACTACAGGTAGGGTTCATAGTGTTACATGGCGTACTACCTGATGTGGGGTATACCCAGAGGCTCCATAGTAGTGCCTTTTTGTGGTTTGTATTTAGAATCCTATACACTAATCCCAAAAAGGAACTACTGTGGAGCCTATGGGTAATCAAAACGTAAATCCTACCTAAACCCTAAACCCTAAACCCTAAAAACCCTAAACCCTTTATTGTAGTTTCAGATGTCTCACAGTACAGGTCGACGATGCGGCGCATAATCACAGCCGTAGTGGAAGCATATACCTTAAGAACCCAAAACCTACTTTTTTTGTAGGGTCCCTATAAATCCCATATTAGGGATTAAATTATAATAGGAACCTACAAACAAGTGGGTTTTGGGTTCTTAAGGTAGAGCTGGAACAGCTCGTAAACGTTAGTAAGCATGAACCCATGCACCTCAAGGTCCTACACCCTGAACCCTACGCCTCCCAGCCTTATAGAGCCCGAACGGCCCATGTACCCATATAGTATATTGATTTGGCCTTGAAGCAGACCCTATATAGGTACTTTACCTGTATAGGTACCTTACGGCCAAAGTATATACTATATAGGCACATGGTCCAGCAGGGGAGTCCATTAGAGTACCACAACTATTTAATCCAGGTGCCAGAAAGCGGACGGCAATGATCCTCCTGACAGGCTCGGGTTGCTACGAGGGTACTGCAAGGGATAATTCCGTACAAGTGTACTAATTTGAGGTTACCATTTGGGTCCAGTTCGGGTACGGACATACTACTATAAAAGGTTATATGAGGTTACATAGGGGCACTATAGTGATGCGGACGTCTGCGGATTTTGATTTTCAGGCTTTCCCTAGTTGCCCAGGTACCGACACGGTTGTTTTGCTGTCCGCATGAAAAGGCCACATTTAGTGTATGTCATTTATACGTTTTTGGGCTTCTTGACTTCCTTTCTGCTTGTTGTAGAATCTGTGGGCACCCGAGCTGGTTTGGTTGGACTTGGAGCTGTAACTGTAGTGCGGTTGGCTTTTGGGGTGTGGGGTTCAGGTTTTGGGGTTGCGGCTTGGGGCCCAAAACTGTCAACTTGGAATCTAGGGCTTCATGGGCTCAGGCCGTACCAAAAGCCGTTTGCCCCTAAACCTCTAAACCCCAACCCTGCACCCTGAACCCTCTAAACCGTGTCAAGATGTCTCTCAAGCACCGCGGAAGCCTTGTCGGAAATCCTTTTCCACATTCCACATCATTTTAGAGTTGAATACAGGCATGGAATAATTACGAATAGTATCCTTATCTTCGGGGTTTCTTGTCGGGTTCTATACAAGGATGTTATGAAGGTTACACTGCTATATTATAAGGTTCAATATAGACGTCGGAATAACTGCTACTAGTATCCCTTGTAGACACGTTACGCAATCACATCTCCCAATAAAGACCCTATGCTACGCTATGTAGTAATAGCAAAAAGTGTGCAGACAAAAACTTTGTGGTTCTACCGGGTAAGGCTGCTACGTTACGAGTGTCAGGGTCGGCTCCTCGGCTCTACAGCCAGGCTCGGATCGAGGTATCCAGGCCGCCTGCCTCTCTGCGTGGCATCGGAGGCGTGGCATGGGGTCGGAGGAATTGCCGAATATCAGTCCCTCGGACTCCTTGGTACTTTCATAGGCGCAGTAAAATGTACGCGCCAGAACCCTACTCCAATTTATAGGCCTTTTGAGTACATGCTCGAGGCTATGGCCATGGGGCTGTTAAGGTAAGGGCCTTATCGTAACAAATTAGAATAGGGTTCGGGGGTGCATGAAACTATAATTATAGTAAGGAACCCCCTAAGCCGTAAACCCTGAACCCTACCCTTTTAACTCTTCGAATAAGGAGGACACTGGGGGAACCTCGAAGCTGCGAAGCCGGGGTTCGAGCTTGTTTGCTGCAGCACGCCTTCTATGCTCCCGGCCATCCCTCGGTTTAGGGTGTAAGGGTTTAGGGTTTAGGGTTTGAGGTTGATTGTTTAGGGTTTAGGGTTTAGAGCTTGAGGTTTAGGGTTTAACGGTTTGGGGTTTAGGGTTTAAGGGTTTAGGGTTCCTCGTCTTGCTTTTAATGTAATACCACAGAAGCGGCTTACTCCGCTCAGAAGGAGGCCACCCTGGCAAATCCAAGTCTCCATAAACCTCAAAAAGAACGAGGGTTTAGGGTTTAACCTATATAGTCTCCATTATAGTTCGTTTTGGGGTTACCTTATAGGATCCTTAATATAAAACTGGTTAAACCAAAACAAGGAACTACCATGGAGACTATAGGTGAAACACGAAACCCTACCGGGACCCGAAGGAACCTTCCTTTTTAGGGCTCCTTATTATGATTTCTTTATACAAATCCTTAAAAAGGTAAGCTATATCTTGAACTACCACAACCTACTTTTTTTGTGGGCCCTTATTATAAACCCTAATATAGAATTTATAGGGACCCCACAAAAAAAGTAGGTTTTGGTAGTTTTAGGTAGGGTTTAGGGTTTATCAAGGTCCATGACCACCCGGGCTCCCTTCACTGGAGCGCTAACGGTCATTAATAGTGGTATGTAGTTAAAGGAAACTACAGGTGGGGAGTTTAGGGGTTAGGGATTTAGGCTTTGGGGCTAGGGGTTTAGGGTTTTAAGGTTTAGGGCTTTAGGGTTTAGGGTTTAGGAAACTACAGGTGGGGAGTTTAGGGTATATGGGGCTTCTATAAGGCTCCTATAAGTGACATTGGCCTTCTGTAAGGCTCCCATAACGGTAACTACCTACCTGAGAATGTCCTAGATGTAGTCTCTAGTGGAGGGTAGCTGCGGTGTCTAGAAAAGTCAAACCCTAAAGCAATGCAGCCTCCAAAATCGAAGTGGCGAGGCGGGAAACTGAATAGCAACTCCCCCACCTTATCACAGTTTAAGGTTTAGGGTTAGGGTTTTGGGGTTGAGGGTTCAATCACTGCCTACAGTTTAACCTTCTAGAAGCCGTTTTTGAAGGGTCTTGATTGAATCGAAATATATTCACCCTAACCCCTAAACCCTAAACTAATATAGGTATAGTGAGCTACGGACGAAATGTGTAGAATCTCGAGCACATGGTTCAGGCTCGAAGTCCCTCGGCACTAAGCCCCAAACGGTTTAGGGTTCAGGGCAGTGCAGACAGTCTGTCAGTCAGAGCATTAGGCTTCTTAAAATTGCCGGGTGTCATATTTAAGCGGCCTTGAATGGAGGATCCTACTATTTGAGCTTCTGTAGTAGGGTCCCTGCAGGGAGATCAAGGTAAAATGGGGTGATTAATGTAGGGGCCTTAACAATTAGAATAGGGATTTGGGGTATATTATACTATATCTAAAATAAGGAACCCGCAAAATAGCATTGGTAATTGTTTTTGGCTCCTATAGGTGTGAAGAACCGGGTGTTCGCGCAGCTTAGGGTTGCAGCTATGTTGAGGAAGAGCAGGGAGTGGGTAGGGTTTAGGGTCAGCATTATTACCTGGACCCCAAATAACGTACGTTTTTAAGGACTTGTACAAAGAAGCCATAATGGAAAGCCCTCAAAAGGAAGGCCTTACAGGGTGCAGGTAGGGTTTAGGGTTTAGAGGTTATAGGGGCTAAGGTTCTTAAGAAATCATTGTGTTGGACGGTTCGAAAGGGTCTCACGCAGGGTAAGCTGTTGTATATCAGCGCCTTCATGATCAGAATAGGGCCTTGAGTGCACATTGGTAGTTCTCTAAACCAGGGTCGCTGGCTGGTTTTAGGTCCCCAAAATGGTACGGCACTTTTGTAAAACAGGGACCCTAAAAGTGACCCTAAATTTAGTGAACCACCCATATCCTAGTAGATTTATCTGTGGACGATAAGAGCAGAAACCTATTTACACAGACCGCTTTAGTGATCAGTACTTGAAATTCCATCGGGGCGCACGAGTCGCCTGGGCTTCAGCAAATAGTTGAGAAGGTGATGGCCGAGCACACACCTTCGCAGTTGGTCAGTGATTTCAGCACTTTCGGCATGCTTCCCAGAGAACCCAATACCCTTCAACTAAGGAATACACCTAAAATTTAAGGAGCTTCATATTTGTGATTTAAGCTATTATGTTCCTTATCTACGGTGTATGGGGCTCTCTGGTTTATCATGGTGGAAGCAGCGGCTCATGGACTGACCTTTGTGTAAGGTGGGTTTAGGGTTTGAGAAGTCTCGGCTGCTTAGGCTTTGGTGTGTTACGGGCATTTGTGCAGGTTTGATGGCGAGCTATAGGGGTTTTATAGGGGAGGCAGTTCTGGAGTTCGGGCTTCTGACCAACACAGCGACGATCCACTAAAGTCTCTGCAAAAGCTTCCGACGTCTGGAAAGTAGAGATCTAGAATCCTCTTAGTTTTTTTTTTTTTTTTTTTT